AGCAAATCAAGTTTCCTGAGCAAAAGGGCTTTTATCTCCTGAAGTTAGTTCCGATGTTAAAAGGGGCTTCTTAGCTCAACTCAGCTTAGCTTTTTCTAGGAACTCAGCAGGGTGTCTCCTTAAAGCAGAGAACCAATTGCCTCATTTGGGGAGGGGTGTTGGGGCGGAGACCCAAGCTAGAACCAAAAGCCCTCCGAGTTGATGTCATGGTTCATAACTTATTCTCGGTGCATTTAGCAGCCTTGCCAGTAGTATATTAATATGCAGAATCACCTGCTGAACGTCTAGGTATGAAATATGACATACCTGCTGGGATGGTTAAGGAGATATAATTTTCTGCTCTGCTGTTGATGCCAGCTAGGGGTTGTAATATATCAGACGACTTGTATTAACGAGACCAATCTAAATATATGCCCAGTTTTTATGTACGGATTTCATAGTCCAAGATATGTTATCATAGGGGAAAAGGGGATGGTTAAATGTGAGTCCGTTTTATGACTACCTGGAATGTCTTTGAGCTCAGTGAAGTACTTGGTTTTATGGTTTAACAATCCTTCTCTAAGCAGAGCCTCACAGACCTCTGGGGGCCAGGCTAAATGGGGTTTATAAACATGAGCTCTCCCGCTGGTCTTGATGCCTTTGATCTCTGCATCAAACAGACCACATGTCACTCCTCGGACAGGGAGGGGGGATATCGGAGGAATCTGATTTGGGAGTAGAAAATGATACAAGATGGAGGCCTTTGCCAAAATGGAGGTTTGCATCCATCTCTGTGTGCACGATTGCTACATGTGGCTTAAGGCCAAAGTTAAAAAAGCTATAGATAATAAGAAAAGAGCTTTTATTAAATATGAAAATTAAGTAACGCTATCATCGTTTAAACATTACAAAGAATATAACAGAACATGCAAAAAGGAAATCAAGGCCGCAAACATTGAAAACGAATGACAGATTGCAAAAGATAGCAGGACCAACCCCCAAAAATTCTTCAAATATATTAATAGTTAAAAGGTCAGGTCCAAGCATGTAGGCCCTTTACAAAATAATCTAGAGTGGGTGACTGGGGACAAAAAGAAGGCAAATTTATGAAATACCTTTTCCAGCTCTGTGTATACAAAGGAGCATGGGGGAGCTCTTGTCCATAATGGGCATGGTGTTGATACAGCTCCAGATGTTCCACATTGGCTCACAATTGATATGATCCAAAAATATTTAGACAAAGTAAAGGTGAATAAAGTACCTGGACCGGATGGCATATACCCACGGGTTCTTAAAGAATTGAGCTCTGTCATTTTAAAGCCATTGTTTCTAATTTTTAGGGACTCTAATGACTGGCAGTACCACTGGATTGGTGTAAGGCCAATGTGGTGCCAATATTTAAAAAGGGTCAAAATCTTTACCAAGTAATTATAGACCAGTTCATTTAACTTCTGTAGTTGGGAAGATGCTGGAGAGTTTAATAAAGACCACATAGATGAGTTCTTGCTGGAAAAAATATTTTCAGTAACAGACAGCATGGATTCATGAAAGACAGAAGTTGTCAAACAAATCTGATTTCTTTTTATGAGGAGGCGAGCAAAACCTTGGACAGAGGGGTGGCTGTGGACATAGTATACTTGGATTTTGCAAAAGAGTTTGAAAACGTTCACCACACATGGCTAATGTGTAAGGTAAAGTCTACAGGCTTGGAAAAATCTGTATGTAAATGGATAGAATACTGGCTAAAATATTGTATTCAGAGAGCAGTGGTTAATGATTCATACTCTGAATGGTCTAGGGTTGTCAGTGGTGTACCCCAAGGTTCAGTGTTGGGACCCTTACTTTTTAATACATTTATAAATCATATAGGGTCTGGGATTAAAAATACAACTTCAGTCTTTGCAGAGGACACCAAGCTGTGCAGTGGAATAACGTCCTTAAAGGACATCTCCAACTTACAAGTCGACCTCAATGCACTGTTTAATTTGGCAACTATGTGGAAAATGAGGTATAATGTTGATAAAGGTAAGGTTATGCACTTGGGGGCTAAGAATATGCATGCATCATACATACTAGGGGGGAGTACAACTGGGGGAATCAATGGTGGAGAAGGATCTGGGAGGTCTGTTAGATCACAAGCTTAGTAATGGCATGCAATGCCAAGCTTCAGTTTCTAAAGCAAGCAAAATCCGCTCTGCATTAAAAGAGGTAAAGACTCCAGGGAGAGATATCATTTTATCCCTGTACAAATCATTAGTAAGACCTCATCTGGAATATGCAGTTCAATTTTGGGCACCAATTCACAAAACCAGAACTGGAGAAAGTACAGAGAAGGGCTACCAAACTGATAAGAGGCATGGAGGAGCTCAGCTATGAGGGAAGATTAGAGGAACTGAATTTATTCTCTCGAGAAGGATATGATCAACATGTGTAAATACATCAGTGGTTCATATAGTGAACTCGGTGTATAGTTATTCACCCTGAAGTCATCACAGAGGACAAGAGGGCACTCTTTACGTCCGGAGAAAAAGAAATTTAATCTCCAAATACGGAAAGGTTTCTTCACAGTAAGAGCTGTGAAAATGTGGAATTGGTACTGGCCAGCTCAGTGAATTGCTTTAAAAAAGGCCTGGATACTTTCCTAGATACACACAATATATCTGGTTACTATTTATAGGTAAAGTAGATCCAGGGAATATGCAATTGCTTCTTGGGGGATCAGGAAGGAATTTTTTCCCCTGCAGGAGCAAATTGGACCATGTTTTTTTGCTGGGTTTTTTGCCTTCCTCTGGATCAACTGTGGGTGTAGGATTATAACTTTTTTTTTTTTTTTAATGATTGAACTGGATGGACTTTTGTCTTTTTTTTCCAGCCAGACTAACTACTGTATGTAACTATGTAAGACTTTAAACTAAAAACATAATTTACCCCTGTCACATTGAGAAAATTAAATGGCTGTTGTCTCTGTTAATTAGAAAGTTGCATGCTCTTTGCAGGTAAGATGCTACACACAAAAATTCCAACTGTGCATTTGACCGTTTGTCTACACTTACCTCTCTATGTACAGTTGTGTCCAAAATTATTCAACCCCCAATGCTGTAAAGGGGTTTAGGGACTATAGTGTACATTTGGAATTGTATTCAGAATCAAATCCTACAAGGACGTTGTAACTACCCAAATGCAACTAAAATGACATCAATTGTTTATGTAATACAGTAGTAAATGGTTCTTATGTGGTTTCTTCATTGCCACAATTATTCAACCCCTTAAAGACTACCACTCTGAAGAACAGAGGTTCATACAGGTGCTTTCCATCAGGTATTGAAAACACACCTGTGGATGTCACCGAGCAGCAATCAAGCATAATAAGCACCAATTAGGCAGCTTTAAAATGACTGTGATACTCAGCTCCTTCTAGACATTTACTGGTGTGGTTACAAACATGGTGAAGGCAAGAGAATGGTCCAGGAAGACAAGAGAAGAGGTGATTTCTCTTCACAGGAAGGGCAATGGCTATAAGAAGATTGCAAAGATGTTAAACATACCAAGAGACACCTTAGGAAGCATCATTCGCAAATTCAAGGCAAAGGGCACTGTTGAAACGCTACCTGGTCGTGGCAGAAAGAAGATGCTGACTTCGACTGCTGTGCGCTACCTGAAGCGTAGAGTGGAGAGAAGTCCCCGTGTGACTGCTGAGGAACTGAGAAAAGATTTGTCAGATGTGGGTACAGAAGTTTCAGCCCAGACAATAAGACGCACACTGCGTAATGAAGGCCTCCGTGCCAGAACTCCCAGGCGTACCCCCTTGCTGTCTCCAAAGAATAAGAAGAGTCGACTGCAGTATGCCAAAAGCCATGTGGACAAACCACAAAAGTTGTGGGATAGTGTTCTGTGGACTGATGAAACAAAATTAGAACTGTTTGGGCCCATGGATCAACGCTATGTTTGGAGGAGGAAGAACAAGGCCTATGATGAAAAGAACACCTTGCCTACTGTGAAGCATGGTGGAGGGTCAATCATGCTTTGGGGCTGTTTTGCTTCTGCAGGTACAGGGAAGCTTCAGCGTGTGCAAGGTACCATGAATTCTCTTCAGTACCAGGAGATATTGGATGGAAACGTGATGCAGTCCGTCACACACACACCTGAGGCTTGGGAGACGTTGGACCTTTCAACAGGACAATGATCCCAAGCATACCTCCAAGTCCACTAGAGCATGGTTGCAGAGGAAAGGCTGGAACATTTTGGAGTGGCCATCGCAGTCACCAGACTTAAATCCGATTGAGAACCTCTGGTGGGACTTAAAGAAAGCAGTTGCAGTGCGCAAGCCTAAGAATGTGACTGAACTGGAGGCCTTTGCCCATGAAGAATGGGCGAAGATACCCGTAGATCGCTGCAAGACACTTGTGTCAAGCTATGCTTCACGTTTAAAAGCTGTTATAACTGTAAAAGGATGCTGTACTAAGTACTAAGATTGAATGTCACTTGGGGGTTGAATAAAACTGATAAATGCTGTGAGCACAGAAAAGACATTTGTGGTTATTTCATTATAACTGTTATGTTATATTTGTCTGACCTACAAGTGCCTCTTTAATGTAAATGTAAGCAAGATGACTGAATGATCAAAAGCAATGTCAAACTGGCCAAAACACTCATTTCAGTGGGGTTGAATAATTTTGGACACAACTGTATATAGCTGCAGTTAAGAGGCATGTGTTCGGGCTCGTTCAAACAAGTGGGTTGCGTTCTGTGGCATGACCACCTGCCGAATGCTACATGCCATTTAATCTTTACCGTGGCATGGGTATAGCCCTGAGTAGCTACATTGCATTGTTTAGGAGGGTGATTTGGGGGGGGGGGGTAAAAATTGCAACATGACTTTACCATCCTCCTACTGTCCGTGTGAACAAGTCCTTATAGATTTTAAATGATCATTCTCTGTTGCTCAACCACATTGGAAGCTTAAAGTGCTTTCAATTACACAAATAGTTTCACACAGAAAAAGCATACAATACAGATATTACCTGTACAGAGCAAGGTGTGATTTCTCCCACAAGCAGTAAATTTAACTTTTTCTGATTTCAAGGCTGCAAACAGAATAGAATTCATTAACCCCTACTAGCAAAAGAAAAATATATAACATATTGAGCTGTATTTATAAAATACTTTAACCACTTCATCACTAGCAATTTTAAAATTTTTTGAACATTTAAAAATCAGTATTCCTGGCCATAAAATGACTTAAAGTAGAATTATATGCACAACTATTGCTTTAATTTTTGAATAGAGGGAGGGTGGGTTATAACCCTGTCAGAATTTTTTTCACCATCTGTGTCCCATTGCAGAGATTTTCCTTCACTTCCGGTCCCTATATCCAAAGAGGAAGTGATAGGAAATCTCTGCTAATTAAGGGAATTGCTTGGGGACCCCCAGGTCAACAGAACTAGTGTATTCACTGGGAGATTTCCCCTCTATTACCTTTCTGTGGACAACCCAAAATTTGGGATTTTCTTTACTGTCACTTTCACTAGTAATGGTAAACAGGACAAATAGAGAGGGGGAATCTCCTAAAATGGGGGCACAGACAGCAATAAAAAAAACTGACAGGTGTTCTAATCCATCTCCACTCTACCCAAAACTAAAAAAAAAAGGTGTTGCCTTTACCCTAGGTTCACACCAAAGCGTTTTCTGCAGCGTTTTACAGAAACACAGTACAGTCCATTTAGCATGATTTCCTATGGGACATGTTCAAACCTGTGCGTTTTCACCCGGTGTGTTTTTTGGAAAGGGTCAGGGACTTTTTTTTAACGCAAAAAGTTGCAGTTTTGGTTCTATAGACTTCAATGGAAATGCTGCAGAAAAGCATGTATTGTGTTTTTGATGTGTTTTGCGTTTTAAATATGCCTAGCAGCAAGAAAAAAAATGAAAAATAAAAAAACACAAGGCAAATGTATCAAAAACGCGGCAAAAACACAATGCAGAAACGGCTCTCAACACACAACAACCTGCATAGATGTGAACCTAGCCTTAGTTATACTTGAAGGGCCAGTTAACACTATAAATACGCAGTCCAGTTGTGTTTTTGCATGCACGTTTTTGCCACATTCCAGTGCGCTTTTGATGCATTCCAGTGATTTTTGATACATTCCAGTTCATTTTTTCCTCTCTCTTTTTCTTCAATTTAGATAGGGACATGTGCATCCCAGTGCATTTTGGTGCGTTCTGATGCATTTTACTGCGTTCCAGTACAGTTCTGTGCAGAAAAGATGCAGTATGTACTACTTTTTTTTCTGCAAGTGGAACTGCAAGCATTGATGTTAACTATGACATTGACAACCATATCACCTACTTTCTGTGTATTTTGGATATAGAAAAAAAGCAACTGAAATGCATGTAGTATGAACTGGCCCTAAAGTGGTACTCTTAAGTCCTGATAGATCACTTCAGGCTGGCCCCTTTTGCAGGTATAGCTATGTAAAACAATTAAAAGAACTTCCTACTGTTTAAAATCCAGTAATGCACTCTCACCCTGTTGTACACATTTTCACTTGCTCTCTAATTCTTGGCACTGTGTCTTAAATCAGAGCCTAAAGGCTGATCAACTGACAGTTTAAGATTTACTGTTGCTGAAAAGGGAAGACATAAAACAGAAATGACAGACTGCTGAGTGAGGACAGATTAGGAAGGAGAAAAGAAAAGCAGGAGAGGTGACAGGAAAACTCTGCTGCCAGGGAGATGCAAAAGAGTTAAACATACAAGGATAGTTTGTGTTTTGGTACATAATCAGTCCAAATACTGAAAGAGCTTCACTAATGGTATCGCCTCACTTGAAAGGAGTAGCAGAATGTGTTTTGTAGTGTAATTCTAAATATGCCCATGCTGTGTGTGAGAATTGGCATACTAAATTGACAACTTTGTGTATAAAATGCATTTTCACTTTCACATTTTCCAAAAACGTGTGGCAAAAAACAAAGTCTTCAAAAGATTTACAAAACAAAAAAAACAAACAAAAAAAAACTTTGGGGTGTTTTCTTTCCAAAATAGGTTTATATTGTAGGAGTTTTGACTGTCTTGGTGCTCCAGGACCCCCAAAAATGTGATAGGTTGTCAGGAACCTCAATGTATAATTTACGCCCCTAGAACAAGTGAAGGTGTTCCTTGGATTTTGGGCCCCTTTATGTGGCTAGGCTGTGAAAATGTCTCACACATGTGGTATTCCCATATCTGGAGGGCATAGCAGCATGTGTTTTGGGGAGTAATTATAATTATGCATGTGCTGTATATGAGAAACAACTTGTTAAAATGGCATCTTTGTGAAAAAATAAATACATTTTAATTACTTTCTTTATTCTAAAAAAAAAAATTGAGACAAAAAGTTACAACTTAAAAAACTCATCATGCCTCTTACTAAATACACTAGACTGTCACCCAAAAAGGGGTCATTTGGGGGGGGGGGGGGCGCATTTGTACTGTTCTGGAATTTTAGGTCCTGAAGAAATGAGATAGTCCAGATTGATCAATTTTAAAATATATATTGTATAACATAGTTTGTAGACTCTAATACATTTGGGTCTAAATTTATGAAGAAAAAATATTTATTTGCAAAGTAATATGACAGAAACTAAGAATATTTTTTTAATGTTAGTCTTTTTCCTTATATATAGCAATGAATGATTACATAAACAAAAAACACATTGGTGATTAAATACCACCAAAAGAAAGCTCTAAAAAAATTATACAAAATTAATTTGGGTACAGTGTTGCATCAGGAGTAATTGTCATTGAAAGTGTGATAGCTCTGAAGTCTGAAAAATGGTCTGGGTAGGAAAGGGGTGAAACAGTATGGCCCTGAAGTAGTTAAACCCCAGAACAACATATATTTTCTGAAAGCAGAGACATTGTAGAATAAAAATATGATAGTTGCACACAATATTTACAGAACAACGTCACACAATATTTGCACAACTGTTTATCAAATGCATATTTTCAGGAAAAAAATATAGTAAAATAAAATTTAGTGCAAACACACAAATACCCAATTTTTTGGTAAAATATACAGTAGAAGTTGGAGTTGCATTTAGGAAAATAGATATCAAACATGTCAAGTCTTAAAATTGCATGCGCCTGTGATAACGCAAAAAAGAAAAGAAAAAACAAGAATCTCCTTAGGTGACAGTTTAAAAGCCATTACTGCTCATCAGTTTAGAGGTAATCATGAGCTCTGGTGCTAGAATTATTACTCTTACTCCGATGTTCAAAGCGTGGTATGATCACGGGTTTAAATACAGTACATGTATGCACACTTGGCATATGTGTTTGGGGCAACAGGGGTTACATTTTTTTTTTAATATACATTTTATTATAATTTCTTTTATTCTTTTTTTATTGTAATTTTCTTTCTTATTTAACATTATTGCTATCACCAGGGGTTAACAAACCCCCATGTGATAGAATTGGGCAGGTACTCTTTATGGAGACATTAGGGGGGTCATTTCTCCTCTGTCCTCCAAAGCAACTAACCAAGCACAGATATGCTTGGTTACATGTTCCCTTGGCTGTATCACCCAGTGAATGGTAGCTCTGAAACCGGAAATGACCAAAAGTCGCTTCCAATTTAATTCAGTGCAGAGGAAATCAACCGTGTGTGTGACATACTACGTACCTCCAAAAAGCTGAACTAGTTAAGCAGAAAAGTCCAGATCAAACATTAAATTCTCTTTAAAGCTACTTTCCCACTGAAAAGTTTTTGAAGCATTTTTGCATTAAAAAAAGCACATGTGAAGAGCGGATGTGCGGGCGGCCGGAGCGGATGTCCTGCTGACCGCTCTGCAAAATCCCAGCACTTCGGGGGGGAACACTAGCGGCCAGCACTCATCTGTACCAATTGCTGGGATGGTGTGGGCTCTTCCTATGCCCTCCCAACCGGCCGGAAAGTCCACAGGTGGATCCCGTGCCGCAGTAAAGGGGGCAAGCAGGGGAGGCAAGACCAGCTCCAAGGCCTTCTTGGCTGCTGAAGGGTCATAGCAACGGTCACAGGGGACTCCCTCCCTCTTCTACTCCTGGACTTTAGGATGAACATTCCTCCAGAGCCAAGGATCATGCGAGTGACCTTCCTGCACCTCCTAGCTCCCTCCCTAGTCCTCCTGGGTCTCCTTCACAGGCCGCAAGCCTGTCTCCAGGCCGTGATTCCCAAGCTTCCTCTCTGCTAGACAGGGAAATGGCGGATATCTTTATTAGTCAAACCGGTAGCCAAGATTCCGCACAAATCACAAAATTCTAGCATGATTGCCGACTTTCAAGATCGCTTGGATGAGGCATACATTAAAATAGATGATCTTGAGAATCGTGCTAGGCGTTGCAATTTCCGAATTAGAGGGCTGCCAGAAACGGTAAAAGATATAGCATCTATTGCCGTTCCTTGATCCATGCTGCAATACTGACGACTAATGAGATTCATCTGGAAACAGATCGAATCCACAGGGCTTTGGTCCCTTTGTGGCCAGACGGCCCTCCTCGGGACATAATAGTGAAAGCCTCACTTTTTCAGCGTCAAAGAGTCGGTGATTCGTTATGCTGTAAACATCCAGATTTGGAGGTTGACGGATAACGGATTCAAGTCTTCGCAGACATCTCTCAACCTACTATGCAAAAGAGGAGAACCTTTAAACCACTACTCTCACCTTTAATCCAGAGGGATATCCGCTATCAATGGAACTGTTTCATCTACAGTTTCTTTATAACAGCAAATCCTCTTTCTCTACATTTCTTGAGGGGAAAGACTTTTGCTGAACTTGGGCTTTATCTCCCTATGCCCCTCCTCCCAAAACCAGCCTAAAGTTAATGGACCCCCCCCCCTCCAGTCTCACCTCTATGGTCTTCCGCTTCCCAGAAGAAATCCGCAACTGCAACACCACATCCGGTGTCTTGAAAACCTGTTTGCTGCTGCTTAAAAAATTTTAAACGGACGCCTCTTAGTGGTCCCATTTTGGGGCCTCTCTATGTGTGCACTGCCTTACGTTTTTGATTTTTACTCTTTGGTAAAATAATTTGGTGACTTTAAAAGTCTTATCTATGTTTTATGTGGACT